ACTCGGTCTCTTGTAAAGAGACACACGGTGTCTTTAAAGAAACCACACACGGTGCTGGTTAGGAAGCTTTCTGGAGCGTTTCTGGTGAATGCCTGGTGGTACGTGGCGTCTTGGGGTTTCCATCTCTGCCGTGAGCAGGGGGCACAAGCCGTGCTGAAGAGGGGGCCGGTACTCGAGAAGCAGACTTGCCCGAAAAGCCCCGTCACTGGCTGCTCTTCATCTGCAGAATTTCCCTCTGCTTTTCGTGCCGCTTTGCTTTTCTTCTCGTTTCCCCCAAGTGAGCGAGACTAAGAGAGCCCTGTGTCGTGTTCCTACACGCACAAACTCCTCTTAGGGCAGCTCTCCTGCTCCCCCCTGCCAACTGCAGCTGACCCAGGTACCTCCAGCTCCCCCTTCACCTCTTGGGTGAGGGTCAAGCTGGTAGGATCCTTCTGATCCGTGTAAATCTGGAGAGGAGCCTTCCCCCTACTGCTGGGAGGGCACAACAGAATCTAAGGAATGGTGGAATCTGGGGTTTTGAACCCCGGATGTGTTTTGTGTTGGATCTGTGGAACTCCTCCTGATGCTTCTGGCTGGGGAGGAAGGGGTAGAGTAGCGTGCCTTGGGACTCCTGGCACTCAGGGAGGTTTGGTTGTATTAGTATGTGTATATTAAATTTGGGTTGTATTAATACCTGTATGTTAAGTTTAAAAAAAACCCAGGAAGGCTTCTTGAATTGGCTCGACTTGTCAGGCAAAACAAAACACCAACAAAAAAAGAATAATTCACTGATATTATTTACTGCTTCGTGCACTAAATCCTCTGCTTACAGACGAGCAGTTATTTGGATGTTTTGGCTCCATAATTAAAATGTATATGGGAAGATCTGCTGTGTTCTTCTCCCCCAAAATCGTGACTGTGTCCTGCAGAAGAATCCACAATGTTCTCATTCCCCATGTGCTACGTTTTTATGCTGTAAAACGCTTTCAGCTTCTAAAAGGGCTGATGCCAACTTGTTCCGTCCTCGTGAACGTCTCCAGGGTTAACCCTGCTGGCTGAGTCAGGTTTTGTTGATCTGATTTGCACGGGCTGAAAACGAGCTGTGCAAAATGGGGCTGTTTTTATGCTCTTGAGTTTTTTGGGATGTAAAATGCTCCTGCTTTCCTCCCACACCAAATTTTACGTTGTCTAATGGATTTGGAAGTTGCCACGTAATATTCAGAGTACCGAGGTTAAACTGTGATGGAAGTGAGGGACGGAACAAGTTGAAGATGCAGCCAGTTAATTTTGCTCTTTTACAAATTGTGCTGTGCTGGATTGTGGCTGAAATCTTGTGCTTTTCTCCCTGGTATTTTGAGCTACTCCCTTTGAGCGTATCTCTGGATTTGGTCACAGAAAATGTGAGAATTACTTAGTCCCATGAATTTTCCTTTCCGATTCCCGTTTGCCTGTGCATAGGAGGTCCTGGTGCAGTGAGGCTTCAACGTTTTTGGGGGGTGGGGGGAGAAGAAAAAACCAAAAGAGCCGTGTGAATGGCTCTGTTGTCCCTGGGTTTTGCAGAAACTTGAGGTTTAGGTGGGTGGCGAGGTCCTGCACGAGAGCTGGCAGGAAGCCCCCGAAGGAGGTGCTCTGTCCGAGCTGCTGGGGTGACACGAGCTGCTCGGGGGTGCAGAAACCTGCAGCTACCGCAGTACGAGGGGGAAATCAGGCAAATGGCCCGAGGAGGCTGGGGGTGACGCTGGGGCTTCCTTGCCGAGCTCAGCTGCCCCGGTTCAGCGGCGGGGTGGGGGGTCGCAGTAGCTGCCAGCCCAGGG